TGTTTATTCTTGGAAAACTTCCTGGTGGTTTATGACTTGTGCATGTGCGCATGTGCACATGCACGTGTTTATACACAGTAAGGATTCAAAAGCTCTGTAAGACTATGTGTACCCACAGCCTTTCTTTGGAAAACTACTTGAGAAATTGGAGCGGGTATGTGTGTTAGCTAGCATTAGCATTTAATGATACTACTTTCTCTTCCAAGCAAACTGACAAGGGCAGATGAAGGTCCTGGTTTTTGGAATGGGCCCCTGTCTTCTGACCAGTGTTTTATCTCAGTTTGCTATTTTAGTAAGGTTTTCGTTCAGATGCAGATATGCTGTTAAGTCTGTTTTGCTCTGGCTTTTGACCTTTCCAGGTTTTCATTCAGATGCGGATTGAGGGGGGTAGGGTAGAAATTTGATTTTGTATCAGATTAGATGAAATGTTATCTGTCCTGCTCCAGAGAAGATCCAAGGTTGCCAAAAATAGTTGGAAAAAGTATGTTGCACTTAGATCTTTCTCTTATTTAGTAGATTGGATTAAGATGATTCTGGAAGTTTCCCACATAGTTATTTTAAACTTGTCTATGTTGGGTTAACTCAAGGTGATGTGGGTAGGTTGGGTCTGAGGACCCAAAGGGGGTCCTGCAGGAACAGCCAAGAGGGTCTTTGGCTTTGTGCAGGATAGAAATCAGAGGGGAGCTGGTAGAAAGTGAGAGCAGAGTTTATTGAGGATATAGAGAGTGCAGATACAGAGTGTCTGGGAGACTCAGAAAGGAAAAGGAGAATAAGTCTCATCTTTGCTTGGGGTCTGGGGTTTTTATTGAGTATGGTGGTCTTGTGTACATGTCCTCTCAGGCATCTGGGAACTGGATAAAACAAGGATGAGTGCTTAGGTGTCCTCTATAAGTCGCTTTTGCCCTGGAGCCGAGTCTTGGTGTCAAGGGTTCTGGAGTCAGTGATCTTGGAGAGCCTTCATAACAATCCTGCCCAGTCACCTATTGTGCTGGATGACTCCAAAGAAGTAATTAACTCCTCGACCTTTACAAGGAGGACATACCTTAAGGCATGTGTAAGGCAGGGGTCTCTGGAGGTCCTAGGAAGAATAGAGGTAGCAAAAAAGCAGTTCTTCCTGGGGTCCCTTCAGTTTCCCTATTTCTAAGGTACTCTCTCAAGGGCCAGAATGCCTTCGAACATCACTTCTGCTTTAGTGCAGTCCCTTGTCTCCTGCTTGGATTGTTGTCACAGGCTCCTTTGCTTTCACCATGCCAACCCAATCCAAATGTCACACCGTTGTGGGCATGTGACCTCTGTCCTGACAGAAGGACTCGCACTTAGTTTAATGCTCTGCTGTTGCCATTTAGAGATTTTAAATGCTTTAGCAGGGAGGCTCCATATTTTCATTTTGCACTGGGCCCTGTAAATGAAGTAGCTGGTATTGGCTGTGGGAATGGCATTTCTGAAGCTATGTATTAAAAAAGAAATCTTTCAAAGTCCAGACTCCTTATCCTATGTGTCTAGCTCTCTCTTTCTCATGGTATGCTGAAGTTCCAAGCAGCCCCTTGCTTCTGCATCATTGGCTTATGGTATTTCCTTCTCCTCATTTTACCTACTTGACCTGGTTCATTGCTGTACATGGTTTAAAATACTGATGAAGTAAGGCTGAACTGTGAAACCTGACATGGCCACCTCAGGTAGTACTGAATCATACTTTGTCTCCTATCTCCCTTGAAAAAATTGATACTTGGCAAGGTACAGCCATATTTGATCTTGGGATCATGGTTCCATAATAGATATACAGAAAGATAAGATTGATTTATGTGTGTGTGTGTTGAGGGGGGTATCCATCATCTTCAAAGTGTTCGTTCATTCATTCGTTCATTCATTCATTCATTCATGCAACAAATTGTTATGAAGTATCTCATACATGCCAAACTATATACTAAGTACTGAGGATATGGCGTTGAACAAAGTATTCCATTTTTTTCTGAATGAGCTAATATTCTGGTTGCGGGAGATAGAAAGTGAATTTAAAAATACATCAATCTATAATAATAATAATCTATAATCTAATAATATATACAATCTGGAGTTCTAGAAGATGGTGCACAGTAGGATAAGAGACCAGAGGATGATGGGAACATTTTGGGCAAATTGCTGTCATGTCCTTCTGAGTCTTTTCCGATTAAGACATTTCCTACTCTTTCACTGTCTCCTCATGGGATGTTTGGACCCAGTCCACATCTTGGTCTCTCACCTTGGAAGATGTATATTTTTTTTTTAAAGATTTTTATTTATTTATTTGAGAGAGAGAATATGAGAGAGAGAGAGTACATAAGAGGGGAGAGCGGGAGAGGGAGAAGCGGACTCCCCGCTGAGCAGGGAGCCCGATGCAGGACTCGATCCCAGGACTCCAGGATCATGACCTGAGCCGAAGGCAGTTGCTTAACCAACTGAGCCACTCAGGTGCCCGGAAGATGTATATTTTTTGTTTAAATCTATCTTAAAGTTTGGCAGATGGGACTAAGAGCAGGGCTCTGGGGCTGGCCTGCCCATTGCAGAGTAGGACAGCACCAAACTTGCCAGTTGCTCCAAGTGTACTGTCTGACAGTGATTTTTCAGATATAAAACATACATACCATATAGGTATAACCAAGAAAACTGAAAACATATTTTCGCACATAAACCTGCACATGAACATTCTTGTTGCATTCATTATTCATATTAACCAAAAAGCGGGAATAATGCAGATGCCCATTAACTGATGTGTATAAACAAAATATGGTATATCCATACAATGGAATGATAATATTCAATCATGGAAATGAATGAAGTACTCCTTGAGAACATTATGCTAAGTGAAAGAAACCAGACACAAAATACCACATATTATATGATTCCATTTATATGAAATGTGCAGAATAGGCAAATCTGTGAAGGGAAAAAGTAGATTAGTAACTGCAGGGGCTAAGTAGGGGAATGGGGAGCGACTGCTCATGGGTACAGGGTTTCTTTCTGGGGTGATAAAAATGTTCTGAAATTAGGTAGGGGTGATGCTTGCACATTGAGAATGTATTACACATCCCTGAGTTGTACATTTTAAGATGGTATTATGGTTTGTGAATTGTATCTCATTAAAGCTGTCATAAAAAATATGGGTATTACTTCCTATCTGAAGGTGAGAATCTTAATGAGGATTCAATGCACTAACACTTTACAAAAGTGCTTAAAGTACAGTGCCTGGTATAGTACCTTACCTAGGATGCTAACATAGTATTACTTTGTTAATGATTGTTACTGTTACTCTTCATGAAAGTAACACTGCTTAAATTATCAGTAAGCTGCAACTTTTATTCACTGCTCCCTTTGTAGGTTATTACCTATTACCCAGTATAGAGTCAATAAATACTTGTTGAATGGATGTATTTTGTTCATATGCCTGTTTAGCCACATTCGCCAATGTGGTTGCCTTTTGCTGTTGTTTCCTTCAGCATGTAACTGAATCAGCATCATTGGATCTAACTTTGAGCTTCTTGTCCAGTAGTAGTCATCAAATGATATGAAGCCCTTCACAGGGCATATTTCAGTGTTGAAGTTGGAGTTAGGAGTGTGGACTCAGCCTGGGGAAGGAAAGGTTCTACCTTAAATTCACAGTGAAGGTGGGGATGAAGTGATTTTTGAGCTTTTTTCCAGTAACATAATTCTGCTTTATGTTTTTATAAGAATGTTGTTCTTAGTCGTTCATTCTCCTTTCCAGTTCTCTGGAGAGTAGAGGACTTCATCTTGGTTTAAAAAAAAGAAATCAGTTCCTAGAAATTTAACAAATTTAAACTGATAAATTGTTCTCCTGAACCAACTCAAGAGTTCCACGTATAAGAAATGGTTATTTCAAAATAAGATAGAAGCATTTTTTTCTCTTAAGTTTTTTAAATTCATATCCTTTTATGAACTTGGCATTCCACTAATAACAATGAGTTGCTTTTACAACCGTGTCAGCAAGGTGCCATTTATTTATATTGAGGTTCATGAAAAGAAGTAAACCTGTTTATATTATCCAGCATTCTTTCTAGAAGACCACTGGAAATGTTTTCCTTTGGTCTGTAAGGAATGGTTGTGTTTCCCAGCTTCCTTTAGTCTTCTGTAAACCATGAACTATGTCATTGATCACATTTCCTTGTTGTCAGAAACTGTCGGGAGACTCAGTGTCCACTTTGTGGCTCTCCTCTGGGAAGTACCAGGATTTCTCTCCCGGCCTTTTGTGTACCACCCTCCTTCTGGACTCCAACTTTGTTTTTTGCTTTTATCTTCTCTGTCTTATTTATTTATTTATTTATTTATAAAAAGATTTTATTTATTTATTTGACAGAGAGAGACGCAGCGAGAAAGAGAACACAAGCAAGGGGAGTGGGAGAGGGAGAAGCAGGCTTCCCGGCTGAGCAGGGAGCTCGATGCGGGGCTCGATCCCAGGACCCTGGGATCATGACCTGAGCTGAAGGCAGATGCTTAATGACTGAGCCACCCAGGCACCCCTTCTCTGCCCCATTTATACTCTTTTATTTTTATTTCTGTCTGTGTATATCTTCAAAAGGTGTTTTTATAATTCTTTGGGAGACAGGGCCACTATTTTTTTTTTTAAGATTTTATTTATTTATTTGACAGAGAGAGACACAGCGAGAGAGGGAACACAAGCAGGGGGAGGGGGAGAGGGAGAAGCAGGCTTCCCTGTGGAGCAGGGAGCCCGATGCGGGGCTCGATCCCAGGACCCCAGGATCATGACCTGAGCCGAAGGCAGACCCTTAATGACTGAGCCACCCAGGCGCCCCAGAGCCACTATTTTTGAAACCAGTATTTTAAAAATTACCCTAAAAACATCTACCTGTTAACTTTCCCTGCATTCCCACAGGGAGGAATGGGAGAGGAGGCAAAACCGTCAGAAAGGAGTTCGTAAGCTTTTTTTTTTTTTTTGGAAATCTTTTTTGAGTGTTTCTTTCTCCTGTTTTTTTGTTTTGTTTTACTAGAAGTTGGTGATATGGCAAAGCAGTACATAGAGAAAGGTCTTTTGGTTCCAGATCATGTGATCACACGCCTCATGATGTCGGAGCTAGAGAACAGGCGCGGCGAGCCCTGGCTGCTAGATGGTGAGTTGAACCCACCGGTAAGCTGGACTTCTGTGAATAGCTGGTTATGCCCACTCCCTTATCTTCTTACACATTGCAGAATACTTTTTCTTCTCAACTTTCAGTCATTTACTTAAGCATATTCCAATTTGGCAACATGATAGAAACCCACCGTGGTGACGCCATTTCATTTCCCTGTCTCCAGACTGCCATTCCTGGAGCCATTGACTTGAAGCAAACCGTACTGAATTCCCGTTATTGTGCCAGTTCCGATGGTGCTGACTGTTTCCATGACTAAGTTGTCATAAGTATTAACTCACCTTAAATCCGAGGTTCCTTCATTCATGATAGGCCACACAAATGAAAACCACGAGTTACCATTTTTCACTCGTCAGGTTAACAAAGACAGAAAATTTGAAAGTCTTTTATTGAGTGTGTAGGAAATAAATACTGTTGAGAGTATAAAATGGGCAACCTTTTGAGGGCAGTTGAGCAATCTTTATACTTCTTGACTCAGCAATTCCTGCCATCTCTCTTCCTAAAGATGCATCATCAAGGTTGTCTTTTTTTCAGCATTATTTATAAATAGCAAGACACTGATAACAACCTAAGTATCTGTCATAGAGATGCCTTAAACATTGGTATGTCTGTTAACCAAATAATGTTTACCTCTGTGTTGGCATGGATAGATCTCTAAGATACAGTGTCACATGAAGAAAGCTAGCTGCAGGAGAGTATATGTCATATACTCTTATTTATGTAAACATGGAAGGATGGTCTGGTATTACTATATACACATAGAAATACATGCCTAACCTCTCTTTGAAAGGATATTAAAAAAAATTGCTATACCCTTTGATACTGTTTGATTTTTTTAATATGTATTTAAGTAATACCTGGGCCTGATTTAAAGACTCAGTTAGTGGTTCCTAAACTTTTTAGGCGTGTGGGCCCTTTGATGACATTTGTGATATTTCACCTAGGAAATGCATGCAGATGCTCACACATAACATATTGCACAATTTTTATTCTCCACGAAGCTGAAATTAAGAATCTTCTACTTTAAGTGTGCCCATTATTAAAGGGGAAAAAAATGGACTGGGTGGATTATTTGTCTTATTCTTAAATAGCAAGATTCCTTGTTATAATGAGAATAGAAACTTGATGAACATGCTACTTCCTAGGATCACAAAATGGCAGATAATGAGATTTGTCTGTCGGAAACCTCTTTGCATTGCAGAGCAGCTGTGTTTAGTCCACACAAGGCACTCAATCCTATCTTAATTTGGTGAAACTGAAGTTTCAGCAATTTGGGACAGGTGAAACCTTGATGTTTGCCAGCCACAGAGAAGCCCGGGGCATTGTCCTACCTTTAAACTATTGGATTGCCTCTATTTCTCTCTCTCTTTTTTTTTTTTTTTAAAGATTTTATTTATTTGAGAGAGAATGAGAGACAGAGAGCACGAGAGGGAAGAGGGTTAGAGGGAGAAGCAGACTCCCTGCTGAGCAGGGAGCCTGATGTGGGACTTGATCCCGGGACTCCAGGATCATGACCTGAGCTGAAGGCAGTCGCTTAACCAACTGAGCCACCCAGGCGCCCACCTCTATTTCTCTTAAAGTCTGGAGCCATGAATGTCCAAAATGACTAATATGGTGGGGTCTTTATTCTATATCAGTGTTTCTCAAAGTATGTAGTATGCAGTGTTAGTAATAGCTAGACAAGGAAACAGACCTTGTGTCAAGTTAAATATTAAAAATGGCTAGCATTTATTGAGTACTTACTGTGTGCAAGCATTGTTCTGAACACTTGATATTTATTATTTCATTCAATCCCTACAATAACCATATGAAGTATACACCGTTATCCCCATTTCATGGATGAGAAAACAGGCTTTAGGTAACTGCACAAAGGTAGTGTCAAAGTTAAACAAGTTTTCTTAACTTTAATACGAGAAAGCAATTTAGCTCTTCACAATGCAATTTTTTTTTTTTTAAAGATTTTATTTATTTGACAGAGAGAGACACAGTGAGAGAGGGAACACAAGCAGGGGGAGTGGGAGAGGGAGAAACAGGCTTCCGCGCGGAGCAGGGAGCCCGATGCGGGGCTCGATCCCAGGACCCCGGGATCATGACCTTAGCTGAAGGCAGATGCTTAACAACTGAGCCACCCAGGCGCCCCTTCACAATGCAATTTAAACTCTTCACAGAAGGAGACATCATGAGACGTCTTCTGCATTTGTTTGATCTTGGGAGTTCCCCACCTTATTCCCAACACCCACTGAGACCCTGCAGGATTTGTTCTGTGGAGCAGTCTTTGTGAACTGTTGTTTAACATATATTCCTCACTTTATAGGTGTTCTGAATAGTTGAATATAAATTGGATCGTATCTTTCTAGAATTTGGATTTAGAAATTTGGAACTTTTTTCTCATGGGACTAGAGGGAACTGGAAGAGAAAGGCTGTTACGGCTTATGGAGGGCATGTTCTTTGTCATTAGGCAGTAATGAATGAAGCTCCTGTTATGTGTCAGAAATTGTTGATAAAATGCTAGAACACTGTCCCTGTTCCTTAAGGGGCTTATATCAGGTGTGTAAAATATTAGTTACTGATGGCATAATAGAAGCATATATACGTGATACCCTGCAGACACAGAGAAGAAAATTATATTTTAGTGGTTGGGGAGGGATTTATGGAAAAGGAGAATAAGTAGAAGAGGTCCCACAGGTTCCACAGGTTGATGAATGGGGCTTGGAAGGTCGATATTCTCCGCCGAGGGGCAGGTAGACTGGGGAAGAGAAGGATGACATAGCTTAGTATTTTCCTGGGCCTATAAGCAGAGGCCGGCGGGGGAAGTCCTGGAGTGGATGGTGTTTGATTCAGTACAAAGATGGTAGAACTGGAAACTGTTGGTTAAAGGGACCATTGAAAAGTTGTTGAGAGTTGATGAAAGGCTATTCTGTTAGCAGCAGAGGAGGGAGTAGGTGCTGGGGCAGAGAGGAGGTGGAGGCTAGAAGCCAAATAAGAGACTGTTGGAATATTTGGACCAAGGGAGGTTCAAAGCCTGAATTTGAGCCATGGCAGTGGAATGGAAAGGAGAGAATGGATCAAAGGGCGAGAACTGACAGGAGCTGTAATGATTGAGGTTAGCGGCTGCAGCCCTGGTGTTTTCTTTTATTGCCTTCCGAGCTTTGAGCTTTTTGTGTCTTGGCTGTCATCACCTTCCCTGCACTTCTCTAGGCCACGTTAATTTCTCTAGGTGCCACACATTGACTCACGCAAGGTAGTCCTTGTAATACTTGTCTAGGTATCTACCGTGATGGATAAGCTTTGACGTTGCCACCACTTGACTGTTTTAAATTCTTTCATTGTAAAGCTTGTCACCTTGTTAAAGCAAACTTCGTGTAGTTTTAGTAAACTTAAAAATCTGTTTTAAAAAAGGATCATCTAGGATAAACTCCTTTGGAAAGGCGGTTAAGTGTAAGAATCACAAAGCCCAGTTGGGTGCCAGATTACCCGCTGGAATCCCAGCTCTGCCATTTACTGCCGATCTGTGAGCTTGGGCAGATTACCTTACCTCTGTGGGCATTTCATTCCTCATTTTCTAACCGTGGTTAGGAAAGTGTCTGTAAGGATGAAGTACGTGAATATAACGTAATGTCCTTAGAAGAATGCTTGCCATATAATAAGAGCTGTATAGATAGGATATTTTGTTGTTATTATTTGTTCTGTGGTTTTGGTTTTTTTTGGTGACTACATGAAGTGTTAAGTTCAGAAATAGTTTAAAAAATATTTAGCCATATGAAGTTGGAAGTCAGTTGTGGTTATGGAATGCTTCCTGTGTTTGCTTTTTCCATAACTTTCCTTCTCAGGGCGAATAAGTGAAGTTCTTTGACATCACAGGCCTGTTTTTAGTGAAGTGCGTCAGTATCCTTGCTGATGTCGTTTGTATCTTTCTCCTTGAAGACCCATCTGGTCACTTTTTCAGTTGCGATTTTCCTTTAAAGCTCTGGAATAAATCCACTTGGCAAAGTGAGGAGTGTTAGGAATGCCTCGTCTGTGTTCAGCCTTTAACTCCTTATGTTACAGGCCACATGCTCTGCGGAGGACATGCCTTTTGAGTGTGCTAAAGGTGATTGAATGTGAAAAGGTCACGAAAAGAATTCTGGTTGACAGATGACTCATCATCTTGGTCCATATGTCTGTAGAGAGGCAACTGCAAATGGTGGGTGGAAACAAACAGAGTGGATGCAAGCCAAGGGAAGCCCAAGGGGGGTTGGTGGATGGGGTGGCCGAGTGCTCAGTGGCTTGGTCAGCTATATCCTTGCTAAAAATAGTTCCGCAGTACCTTACCTTTGCAGTGCACCTTCCAGTTGGGTAAGAAACACTGTTTTATGTGTTGATGTGTGTGTGTGTGGGGGGGGGTTTCTCCTTTTTTCTTTCTCTTCCTCTTTCTTTAATTTCCTTGGAAGTTTAACGTGTGAGAACAGTTTTAAAAAATAGTTTACTTTAATTTTTAAGACAAATATTCCACTAGAGGAATGGAATGTACTATAAGCCTTCTAATTTTATTATAAAACCATGGTTTTTTTGGTTTTGTTTGTTTTTTTTTTTAGTTTGCTATAAAGAGAGTCTTTACTGCTTACTAGGTGATCTTGAAGTGAAATCGTAGGTAGGGAACAGTAACCATCTCTTTAAAACAAATATAAATTCTTCACTTTTTAAAAAAAGGACAGGCAGTTGGATGGGGCCAGTGGGGAGAGGTGTTAGTAATGGAGTTTTTCATTTCTAAATTTGACTGCCAACCTGTGTATTTAAATAGTAAACCTGCAAGTTCTCAAACTCAGTCCTAATTTATCTCCGGGTAACAAGATGTAACAGAGTTGTCTACCATATGATTTTAGGTGAGGTATCAAAATATTTCAAATTTGCTGTTGGAGTTTGGTTTCATAAAAAGAAGCATTCAGTGTTGGCATTATGAGTGGATATAATTTAAACCTTTCATTGGAATAAAGATCCCTTTG